TCCAATGTGTTATCTGCTCTTGCTTTGACTACTTGGACTTCAGTGTGATTTGCAATTGGGATTTCTTTGCTTCGTCCACATTCATGTTCCTTGCAATTTGGTATCGTAGCTGGTTCGATTCGCCGCTTACCTTGGTGCGTCGGCGTTATACAGACTTGGTGCGATGACGATGCTTCTTCGCAGTTGGTTCTTGTGACGGCAGGCCGAAAATAGGCGCACGACCTGGGTAGAGAGGTGTGCGCCAGAAGGCTATACGGCTTGGGATGCTGTGGTGACGACAGAATGTATGTATGGTGATGAGAGCATGCTGATGTGGCATTTGGCTGAGGTGGCACTGCATTGCGTTGTGGGTGGTACCGAGGCTACGACCGGTCATCAAATGCACGTTCGGCTCAATTGGTGAGAAATCTGTGGTTGGGAGCAGCTATCTTCAGGTACGTTGTTCCCTTACCTTATCTACCCTCTCAATCTCTTCTTACCGCGAGGAAGTGAGTCCAACTTGAGAGTCCTCTCTTTTGGTGAGGTGTCGTGAGCGCTCTACCATGAGAGACGACAATCTTCCCGGTGGCGCATCTGGAAGGAGAAAGGGCGGTGCCTCTGAAGGGCCCTGGTCGAAGCACATGGGTCACGGTCACCATGCCAACCCAACGGGATTAGTACACGCATGCGATGGCTGCTTTGTCCATTGGGGCTCTTTTGCTGCGCTGATAGAGGGGGGTGCGGACTGAACAGGCTTATGCAGACGCTCCCAGACCGTTTATAAACATTTCTGGATGGGGATCCGATCTGTTCACTGGCTGTGATCGTCGTCCTGATTGCGACGTTAAATAACTCCTGAGCGACCTTGGGGGCAGTCCTTAAATAAGCCTCTTGATCAGCCAGATCAGTCGGACGTACGGCTCGTTGCACACGAGGATAAATAAAGGGCAAGCCTGGTCATAAGCATGCACCTGGGGCACAGGGGTGGGCCAACATTGCACACCTATGACACTGTTGCTCATTGATGCTCATCGGAATGTTGGATTGAGGGGAGGGTAGGTTCCAATGGTGCTCAACTGTAAACACAACCATATCCACTGTTCATACATCTGCAACATAATTTAGTTTTATTTTTGATTAGTTGGTGGACAGACTGCTAACACCTCACACACAGCTTAGTTTAGGACTGTTGTGTACTACCATAGCCAGTTCTATGCAAAGCTTCTGTAAGTGAACTAATCTTGATATAATTAAATTATGTTAACAGTCTTTGTGAATGTTGTAAGGCTGCCACTTGATCGGTTAAGTAGGGGACCTGCCAGACACATTTATTTTTAGAAAATTAGGTGTCGGTCAGACACATGCTGTGGTAGGACTCCGGCGGGAGTTGTAGTGCAAATAGTGTTTGCCTAACTGATGAGTGGGTCGGACGCCGATGAGGGTAGAGTTGACGATGCGAGGCTGCCACGTTCGAGATCACTTAGGGTCCCGCACGTGTATCAGGCCCTACGGCCGGGAGACGAAAGACGGCTTCGTGCCAAAGTTAGAGCCCGAGCTTATGCAGCAGCGAGGGAAACAGCACTAGCTGCAAGTCAGGCGTTGGCAGGAGCAAACGCCGCAGCTAGGGAACGGGCAGCAGCAGCAGCCAGCGCAGCAGCAATGGCTACAGCGGCAGCATCCTCTGCTGCATCCTCGTCTGGGACCCAGTTCGGGATGCCCCCTGGGCCCACGGATACTTCCGAAGCAGTAGGTTCCAGTCAGTCCACAAGTCAAATGGCAGGCTCGCAGTTCAGTCCGTTGACCCCACGCCGTAGAGAGCTACTAGAGCTCCAACAAGTCGAGAGGATCCACACACGGTTAGAGAGGGAACTGAAGCAAGCTACCGATAGAGAAAATGAGATTATAAATAGGAACAACCAGGCTTGATACGTTAGAGGCAGACAAAGCTGCATTAGAGGAGTTAGACGAGTCAGCAATGTCTGACGCAATGAAAGTATTAAGATCCAGCATATTGTCACTGTATGCGCATGTGGACAGCAGGCTGGATTTCATGCAGAACTCCTTGGACCAAATCTTGGACCTTTTGCAAAGGCCAGGATTACGACCAGCAGCACAGTCGTCGTTGCCGTTAACGGCAATGTCTGGCCCCTTTCCGGTACAAGCTGGCACACAGCCAAGTGGTATGTCTGCAGCAGCCGCACAGACTGTTGCTTCGTCTTCTTCTGGCCCAGCGGCTGGAGCTACATCACAGCCGCAACTATCTGTTCCACCTCAGGGACAACAGCAAAGTCCATGGTACCCAAAGACCCCGATGAAGCCGCCCCTTGCTTTCTCCGGTGAGAAGAAGGATGAGGAACTCGACACTTAGTTGAGGACGGTTCCGATGTGGGTAAGGGCAAAAAGGACGTTGCAGGAGGAGGAGGTGATTACTGCTGCATCTTACCTCGAGGGTAAGGCAGCCAAATGGCTGGATGGGATAGTAGCTAAGGCCGGGTTCGGACGACGCATGGCAGACTGGGGTAAAACCCTTACTTAAGAAGAGTTCTTAGATATGGTAGAAGCTCGCTGGCATAATCCGCAGCAGGCACAAATTGCCACTGATGCGATGCTCAGACTGGACCAGCGAAGGTACAAGTCTGTCAGAGAGCTCACGTCTACCGTAGAGAACTTCATCGTCGTTCCCGGTATACGCTATGATGACCAGGTCTTATGGACCATGTTTCTAAGATGTCTACACGAGAATCTCAGAACCTTACTGGCCAGTGAGGCTCGCCTCGAGTATCATTATTTTGAGACCTTCTCTAGAAAGGCCTTAGAATTGGAGGCTACTCTAGGAAGTGCTCAACGTACTCCAATAGACGGGAGGAAGAAGAAGAGTCCACAACAGTGGAAAAAGAAGGGTAGTAGATTGATGATGGTCGAGTCTGATGGGACTCGAACAGAAATCGAAGAACTTACCGACCTGATAGACAGTTCAGAGTACGACGGCGAGGAAATCGCTTAGGGTAGCACCCTCGCCGCAGTAGTCAAGGCAAAGGCTGGTGGCCGCAGCAAAGGCGGTCATCAAAAGAGTCAAGGGCAGGCCACCTCCAATCAGTCCAAAGTAGCAGATTGGGTCAAGGCAGGTCTTGATCAGGAAGTGTGGTGGGACCGCCGAGTGCGTGGTGCTTGCATTAACTGTGGTGAATACGGACACACCCAGTACAAGTGCAAGAACGCAAAGGTCACGCAAAAGATACCCCTAAGGGAGGGGTGCCTTCTTCCCAAGCTGGGACCAGTTCCAGTTCGGGAAACACTTGAGGCCGGTGGAAGTTTCAGTTGCTGCTACTCATGGTGAGGTGGGCCAGATACCCTCCCCACTTCATGAGATGGCCATAGCTAATGACTCTTTAGTCACCCCGCAGACACACCCAGACCAAACTATGCTCTGTACGTTGGATGTGTTTGAGGCCTTAGAAGATTTAGAAAGTGAGTGGTCAAGCAAGGACCCTCACGAATCTTGGGTGGCACTAAGTAGAGGTCCTAAAGGGGAACATTTCTCGTGGAAGTGGTTGTAGGAGGCCGCAAATGTGGTGCCTTCGTAGACATTGGTTCCACGCGGAATTACAACGCCTTACTAGACCGGTAGCATCTACCTTGGCCAGCAAGGAGCGCATGGTAGTGTCAGACTATGTCAAGGATGTAGTCTGCACCTTCTCCTATGGAGGAGGGAAACTTAATCACAAGATTTCGTTCCTGGTTAGTGACGACTTACCATTCGACATGCTGTTAGGAATGTACTACCTTGAGGTTGCCAAGCCCCAGTTTGACTGGGACAAGAAGGTGCTCAAGCATGAGTTGCCTGATGGGAGGACCGTGAGACTGGCCAAGTACAAGGCTAGTAGGTTGTTAGACTCCAGCAGGTGCTTGTGTGCATCAGCATTCTACAACTACTATAAACACAACCAAGAGGAGGGTATGTACCTAGTCTAAGTCTCTGAGAAAGGGGAGGCCGTTAAAACACCCCCGGAGATAGAGAACGTCGTTACTAAGTTCCCTGATCTGTTTGAGGAGCCCACGGGAGTCGTAGATAGGGAGATTGTCCACGTCGTTAAAACACCCCCGGAGATGGAGAACGTCGTTACTAAGTTCCCTGATCTGTTTGAGGAGCCCACGAGAGTCGTAGATAGGGAGATTGTCCATGCCATAGAAATAATTCCAGGAGTAAAACCCCAAGGGGAAGGATCTATAGGATGGCTCCGACCGAGTTGGACGAACTCCGACGACAACTGAAAGAGCTAACAGAAAAGGGTTGGATACGGCCTGGTACTTCCCCCTTCGGATCTCCAGTGTTCTTTGTACCGAAGAAGGGGGGATCGTTGAGGATGTGCATTGATTACAGAGGCCTCAATGCCATCACAGTGAAGAACGCAGAGCCTCTACCTCGCATCGACGACCTATTGGATAGGGTGCAGGGGTGTAAGCACTACAGCAAGATAGACTTAAAATCCGGCAACCATCAGATTGCCATAAGACCTGATGATCAACACAAAACTGTGTTTAAGACCAGATACGGTCTGTAAGAGTTTGTGGTGATGCCCTTTGGCCTTTGCAATGGGCCGGGTACATTCCAGCACGGCATGAATAGGATCTTCCATGACTACTTGGACAATTTTGTTGTCGTATACCTCGACGATATTCTTGTCTTCAGTAAGTCTGTCAAGGAGCATGCACAACATTTAGAGATTGTTCTCTCACTCCTGCGGCAACACAAGTATAAGGTCAACTTAGAGAAATGCGAATTCGGACGCACTAAGATCTTGTACTTGGGTCATGAAGTATCCGCGGCAGGGATTAGGCCGCAATATGCGAAGGTGGCTAGTATAAGGGACTGGCCACGACCTCATACAGTAACTGAGGTCAGATCTTTCTTAGGGATGTGCGGCTACTATAGGAACTTTGTGAAAAACTGTTCCACGGTCACCTCTCCTTTGACTGATCTCACTCGACTTGATACGCCTTGGGACTGGAGTGATGAGTGCGAGGCTGCTTTCAAACGATTGAAGCATGCACTCATGAATCACGAGGTTCTCATGGTGCCCGATCCTCAGAAGCCCTTTATTGTGACCACTGACGCAAGTCAGTACGACATTGGCGCAGTGCTGGCTCAGCAGGATGGGAAAAAGTTGAGGCCGATTAAGTACATGAGCAAGAAGATGCCATCAAAGAAACTGGCAAAGTCCACCTATGAAAGGGAACTCTACGCCCTCTACAAGGCACTTGTCCATTGGAGGCACTTTCTGTTGGGGCGGTTTTTCTATTTGAGAACTGACCATCAGTCCCTTAAATGGATCAAGACTCAACCTGCTCTTTCTAATACACTCGAGCGCTGGATTGAGGTCATAGATCAATATGACTTCAAGCTAGAGTATCTAAAGGGAGAGTACAACAAGGTTGCGGATGCGCTGTCACGTAGGGAAGATTACCTAGGGGCGCTAGTTTCCGGATTTGGCGTATCCGAGGAAGTAACTCAATCGTTGGTGAGAGCCTATCAGGAGACCTTGTCACGATGGACATGATTCGCAAACTACAGGCGAAAGATAAGGCCACGTAAGATGAGTTTGTGATGGTGGATGGGTTGCTCTTTCTGAGAAAGGCTGGAATTGAAAGATTAGTTGTTCCATCTAGTGAGAATTTGCGCAGTTTATTTCTAGGTGAATGTCATGATGCAACGGGACACTTTGGCTACAAGAAGACAAGTGCCAACTTAGGCCAGCGATTTTGGTGGCCCGGTATGCTAGACGATGCAAAGATGCATGTGCAGACCTGCCAGGTCTGTCAGCGAGACAAGCCAAGAACTCAAGCACCACTGGGGTTGCTGAAGCCCTTGCCCATTCCCGCTGGACCAGGACAGAGTGTTTCCATGGACTTCATGGACACCCTAGTCACGAGCAAAAGCGGCAAGAGGCATATCTTTGTTGTCATAGACAGGTTCACCAAGTTCGCTAGACTGATTGCCATGCCAGAGACTGTGAGGACTGAGGACGTCATCAAGGTGTTCATGGACAATTGGGTACGTGATTTCGGACTGCCAAAATCAATCGTTAGTGACAGAGATGTCCGCTTTACCAGTGAGTTGTGGAAGAAGACTGCTGTGGAAGAAGATTGTTGTGGAAGAAGACTGTTGTGGAAGAAGACTGCTGAGCAATTAGGCAGTCAACTTCAGATGACCTCCGCGAATCATCTGAAGCCAACGGACACGCCGAACAGATGAACAGGGTGAATGGAATGAGAAATTGCCTCTCATCGCCAGCCTGTACAACAACGCTGTGCACAGCAGTACCAGCGTCAGTCCTAACCAGCTACACTTGGGATGGAAGCCTAGATCAGCGCTGGACTTCCTCCTGCCTGAAAACCGACCTTTTGCAACTCCGGGCACACTTGAGTATTGTGTGCAGTATGAGAAGTTGCTACAGCAAGCTGTCGAGCACATCAAGAAATCTCAAGAAGCAATCATTGCTTTTGAGAACAAACATCGTCGACAATCCACATTTCAGGTAGGGGAACGTGTCTGGGTCAAGGCTAGTGAGCTAGGACAGGAATTCGGAATCTCTCGTAAACTAATGCCACAATATTTCGGTCCCTGGGAAGTCCTGGACGTAGTTGGGGATGATTTGGATGGTCCTTCCTATGTTATCCGTATCCCTGGTCACTTGCGCACTTACCCTGTTTTTCACGCCTCAAAGCTTGCACCTTTCGCTAAGACAGATCAATTCCCTTCAAGGAGATCAATGCTGCCCCCAACCATTTATGGCCCCGTGGACATCGACAACATACTGGAACACAGAGATACGCCTATTCCAAGACCCCTGGGCCGAGGAAGACCTTCAAAACCCAGAAGAGAGTACAAAGTCAGATTCAGGTGTCACACGGATCCTAAAGAAGATCGGTGGTTCACCAAAGAGGAACTGATTGAGACAACACCTCAGGTGGTGGCTGAATATGAAAGACAACTCAAGGGGAAGGCACCTACGAAGTAAGCATCTCAACGGACTTTCGAAGCTAAGGGGGATGGAATGTGAGGATTGAGCCCTCAACGGGGCCTTGCCGACATACATATGTCCTGGGTATAGACCCCCAGCAAGCCTCGTGCCCGCCCTAAGTGAAGGCGGGCAGAATATCCACGAGAGGCCTTCATTCAGCATTTCCCAAAGTGGGTATCAGACAATTGCCGCAAACCAGTTGGTTGGAGTGCATCGTGAGCCTCTGATTCTTGCAAAGGCAGTTGAGCCCAGGGCCGGGGTTGGTTGAGCCCTGGGCGACAGTCTGGGAGGCCGACGCATCCCACATTGGTCCCTGGCCTATGGAAAAGCAGTATTTCGTCGTAGAGGCCGGGGAAG